CTCGTCCAGCAGCTCGGTGATGTGCTCGATCCGCCGAGGCTTGTTGCGGACCTCCAAGAAGCCGAAAGGTCCGGCCAGGCCCGACAAGTCAAGGGTGCAGCCCAACACATCGAAAGTGGAATCGAAATCTCGCGCCTTATCTGGATCTGTAGAGAACCTCCAACCGAGGGCGGACAGCAAGAATTTAATGGCAGCGGTAGCCGATGCTGACGAAGCCTTGGGAGATATCGCTGGGAAATCGTCGAAGTACACCGAGCTCGGCACAAGGATGGCCTCATTCATAAGAAATGAAAGTGCTCGGCTCATGCGCACGAATCCATACACCGACCCCTCAGCCCCGAAGGGGAGGGACTCCGAGATGTAGTACAGAGGCAGTCCTTGTTCATCGTGGTGGCAGAGCACCACCAAGTGGCGCTGGGAACGAGGAACAGCCATCTGCTTGTAGGCTTTGGCTAGATCCACACATCGACCAAGCCACTCAGAGCCGGAGGGAAGCACTCGATCACCACAGAGCACATCACCAGTGGAAAGATCCATACGAATTTTGTGCCGACCCGACATCTTGCCAGCCAGCTTGATCATCGCCACCACATAGTCGAGGTCTTGCAGACGAAGGCGCTCCGTGGAGGAGAAAGATGAGTTCAGACCCGAAGATTTGCAATCGTCGATAACCCGGGGCTTGGCCTTGGAGCCCTGAAGCAAAACAAAGCGTGGAGTTGCAATCCAGTCGGGCCTTCCCAAAGCCTCAGTAACTTCGGCCGCTGTTCGATATGGTCCCGAAATGAATCCAGCCGAAACCTCACCTTCACCAAGAGAAGTCAGAGTAGCAGCATCCTGGGGTGAAGAAGTTTTGGAGGTCACAAATTTCCGCCTCCAGGAAGATTCACGCTCCAGCTGTTCGGTGCTAACTGTTGCTGGGCGAAAACTACGATCGGCATAGGGAGGATGGTCCTGAGTGCCAGTCAAGGAAGGGCCGTCCCGAAGCATCTCCCAGACCCCAACATCGTCGTACCGGTACTCTTCCAGCAAGGTCTTAAAGAGGAGAAGTCGTTTTCCTTTAAGAACCTTCTGAAGCTCAGGAGAGAAAGAGCGATGTAGAGCCTCCTCATCGGGGCGAAGCTTCTCCGTCAAATGTGTTACATGCTCAAGGAAGGAGGCTCTCAAGCTTGCAACCTCGGCAGGGGTTTTAGTGAGGTTAGCGAACAGGGCTCTCTTGAAGGAGTCCGTGACAACGCTGGGACCCGCCATCGGGTGTTGAAGAGCACGAGCTCGCTGCACGAACTCCTCGGGAGTCGCATAAATGCCTATGGGGATCTTGTCAGAAACCTCCGAAGTCGAAACCGAAGGGGGCACCGAAGAGGGCCCAGAAGGAAGAGGACCAGAAGAAACCGACGAACCCAAGAGACCCTCAAAAGACCCCTCAGAAATGCTGAAGGCCCCGCGATGGGCCCCCTGCTCCGGCCGGAGGCATTTATGAGGGCAACTAGGCAAGTCGTCACGACGCAGCCACTTGATGCTGGAAAACTCAGGCATAAGCTGACGAGACTTACGTGTTTGTCGCACCTCATCTCCTGGCCGAGCCAGGGCAGGAGGTGGAGTGAAGGAGATCTCCTGACAACAAGCCTGGATCACAAGTTGCACAAACTGCGAAGGGTGTTGTTCGTTTTTGCACAAAAACCCAAAGGGGGCATGCTTGTGCTCGTCGCCCACTCCGGGGCACATGTGAACAAGTGACCGAAGCGCAGAAATGTTGGTGAGGAACCTGATCGAAGCTGGCCTAGAACCTCCAAGCATGCACATGTCACCGCAGAAAGCCTCCAGGGAGGCCTGACAAGACTGAAACTCTGGAAGAGATTCAAGGCAGCTCCAAAACAGGGAGCCATCAGGGTTCTCAATGCAAACGAAGGCCCCTTTAGCGAGGGCCCACACGAGAACCTTGGCACAGAAGCGAAAGAGGCGATTTTCTGCTTGGACCTGTGCCGACTGTCTAGGGTTAAGGTCTGCAAGACCCCAGGGCTTGTCATGTGACCTCAAAGGCGGGCACTTGTCAACTGCTGGGTGTGAAGACGGCAATGACCTGGCACGGGCTTTGTTCGCAGTGCGACAGGGAGGCCGAATGTACACAAAGGTCGGCCCAAAGTCCTCTAGAATATGCAAAGCAAAGTCCTGGCCAGTGGGACTCGACAACTCACAAACAAGGGGCTGGTGCTTGTGTCGCCCCGGAATTACATGTTGATCGATCGCTATGGTCTGCCATCCGATTCTGTTGAAGCTTGAGGCCAAAGCCCCATCACCTGAGAACACCTGAGCGAATGAGGCCGAAGCGCGAGGGGCGCCATCCGTGCCATGCAGCAGCCTAGGGGGATTAGGGTTAGGGTTCTGCAAGTCACCAGGCCCAGGCAGGCGAAAGCCCAAGCCGATCAGGGCTCCCTGATCTTCGGGACTGGCTTGATCGGAAGCCTGCAAGCTATACGCAACTAGAATAACCCGACGACCCTTAAAAGGACAGGTCTCATGCCGCAAGCGCTTGGCACAGAACAGAGCTGGATGCTGTGACACTGGAAGGAGGGCCCCGAGGGCCGAACCTGAATCGAACTCACGAGTTTCATACCTGAGGTGAGGATTCCGAGGAACCGTAGCGGGCCATTCGACCCAAAGATCGCCTCCTGAAAAGTCGGTCAAACCGACTACCAAGTTATCGCAAGGAGCGTTCAAAGCATCAACGTGCATGGCAGTTGAAACGGAGTCAAATAGAATGATTGATGTGAAAATGTGATCGGCATGAACCTGGCGAACGAACTTGCAAAGGACCGCTGTTGAATTCGGGTACAGCTGGGAATTACGTCTTAGTGAAACCTTGACCCTGCAGTAGAGTCCAGTGGTAAAGGACCCACCGATGCTGTTGCCTTGATCCCGAGACCCACTATAAACCTCCTGAGGAAGGAAATCGAAAAGCTTTACAACATCCTCGGCAGTCACTGACCGATCCAGCTTGAGAAGGCTCTCCGCAAAGGATTCGGCGGTGGCTGAAGATTGGCTCCCTTCCCGAGGAGGTGGACTTCGAGATCTAACAGGATCATCTGAGGATTCCTTGAGTCAGCTGCCCTTGTTCGGGCAATCGCAGCCGGCATGCTCCTTGAGGCAAAACCAGCAAAGGTGATATCCCTTGGCGCACCGTTGTCCGGGCTTCTTCTTGGCCCAACACTTGCCGCGGCTGTATAGGAAGCAAAGAGGCTTGCCATCCGCAGTCTTCGTGTGAGCACCGTCTGGGATGGAGATGTTCGCCGACGAGTCCGAAGGGGTCGTCGTCTTGCCTTTGTCCTTCCCCTTCCCTTTGCCTTTCCCTTTTCCGTTGTTGGGGGTGTAAGGTTCCCACCGAGGAACTGAAGGAACTCGAATCTCGGGCTGGGGGACGAGGTAGGAGAGGACATCGCTTGAGGAGCTGAGGCGCTCGATGATGGGATCACAAGTTGGCGTGCCGCCCGGCCGGGATACAATCTTCCCTCGAACTTCTTCTGCAAGAAGGACCCAAAGGCGCTTATCGGCATCAAGAATTTGTTGAAGGCTGACTTGCTTCATGCTCTTCGGGACCTCGCGCTCGCGGACGGTGTAGAGGTACGTGTGCCAAGTCTCAGCAACCTGGAAGCTCACCAAGCCAGCAAGGTCCATGGCAAGAGCCTTTCTCTGAAGGGCCATGCGAAGTTTCCACTCGCCAGCCGTGGAGCATTCAAGGTCGTCCCCCTTTGTTGCTACCCGAAGTTGGCCGTCTGATCCCAGGGCGAAGGTCTTGGCCTGCTTGATTTGCAAAGACTCCAGGGCGCGACTGGTGCAAAGCTCAGGTCGAATGTAAGTCACTGTCTGCTCTTCCACCATGGTCACGAAGCGATCCACTAACTGATGCGAAGGCTCTGTCTCCGGGGACCAAGTCAATCCTGATAGACGGGCTCGCTGGGACTCGGACCGAGCAACTCGCTCCGACGTAGGGAGCTTCTTGAGAACTGTCTCGGCCCCATGCTCCTGCCTGAGCCGTAGATCACGAATGGCTAGCCCATGAGATTCCCAGAACAAGCGGCGAAGGCACGAAAGCTGCCCCGCATCCGGTGTTCCACTCAGGACAGTGGTGAAGAGATCGATCAAAGGGGTCTCATCGCTATTTCCGGGCTGATACGGAACACTGAAAGCGTACTGCCCAAACGTTGTGAAGCCAGCACTTATCAAGGCATCCACGTTGGTGGCCGAAACCCCGAGCTGCAAAGCTCGCCGCTTGAACTCAACAGCTGAGTCCAACTCGGAGGTGGCCATGGCTCAGCTATGTGGTCGCTGTAAGCCGCCGCTGCCCATCGTTTGGCTCAATGGATGTCACATGCCAGGCCAAACGCACTGAAGATGTGCAGGGCGTGTCACACACAGCATAGGAAACGACACGATGCTGAAGCTTTGGTTTCGCAGACAGCGAGGCTCCAGAAACGATGAGGGATAGTCGGTTTCGTCATAGACGAGTACCCTCCGCTGTATTTGCCAGGGAACTCGGTCCCCTCCGATGGCACAGATCCCGCAGCGCGAAGGAGGGGGCACGGTTTCACCACGACGTGAAACCCCCTCCGCTGTATTTGCCAGGGAACTCGGTCCCCTCCGATGGCACAGCTCCCGCAGCGCGAAGGAGGGGACACGGTTTCACCACGATGTGAAACCACCTCCGCTGTATTTGCCAGGGAACTCGGTCCCCTCCGATGGCCCAGCTCCCGCAGCGCGAAGGAGGGGGCACGGTTTCACCACGATGTGAAACCCCCTCCGCTGTATTTGCCAGGGAATTAGGTCCCCTTCCGATGGCACGATCCCGGCGAATCCAATTGCCTGGGAACGACACGATGCCGGGCAGTGTATCATCAAAGAATGATGGGCCCGGACACGTCAAGAGTACGAGCAGCACCGTGAGCAAGCCCGCGCCGGTCAGATCAAAATGTTGCACAACATTTTCGAACTAGGCTCCTGACCGAATCTCAGTCCTTCGAGAAAACTACGCTACAGTGCTTGCAGGCCTGCACATCTCCCTCTTGCGAAGTCACATCCTCCAAGCCGGAGTAATGACGATTGAGGGGGCGGCCGCACAAAAGTTTCTGCAGGTCAAAACTTGCGTGCATGATCCCAGAGATGTTGTGGACATACAAGTGCTGTCGAGGAACCGAAGCCAGCGATTCAGGGACCGCGATCTCCTTCACGCGGTCACTCGGCTCAAAAGCTGTCGAGGGATCAATGTCGTTCAAGTCCGGCTCGGATCCAGACTCAGAAGGTACGTACTCACCTAAGTCGGGGTCCTCCTCTTCGCCTGAAGTCTCACCTAGAAGCTCCATGACTCGGCGAGCCCTCCCGCGATCAGGAGAAAAGGAGCCATCGAGGATCTTGTCCAACAAGCGGCGAGTCTGGACGGCGAGCGGAGTGTAGCTGTCTCTGCTGTAGATGAGCACAGACCTGGACTCCCTATCGAAATGGTGGCCCATCAGCTTTTGATCACGCTCGCTCCACCCTCCAAGTTTGCTTATCCATGAAAGAAGCGTGGCCTTCAAACCATGAGATGTGATGTCCTCGACTTCACTGGGCGACGATCCCGCCTTGCACAAGAGGTCGCGAAGCCACAAAGTAGCCTCGGTGGAAGACATAGGCGCCTTGCCGAATTTGCCAGTCCTCTCGCAGTAAGTTGGCAAAGCAGGGCCCGTCGAGTCGAGGCCGAAGTGACGGCGCGAAGCTAACCAAGCATCCGCCCACGGCTTATGGTAGAGGCCCCTCCCTAAACATATCAAGGGGAGCAAAATCGACCTGTCACGTGCAGCATGCGAAGTCTTGTGTTTTGAAGTTGCAGTTTCTACCAAGTAGATGCGACCAGCACTCGAAAGAGAGATATCAGCCAGATGGAGAGAATCATCCCACCTAGCACACGAGTAGAGGGCGAAAAGATCCTGGCCCCCTATCAAAGAATCCAGGCTGGGGGCAGAATCAACCACATGCTTCTCGAGGGCCCACACCTGGTCAGCCGTGAGGACCTCGGATTGTTTGGTGGGCCTCTTCCGAGCCATCTCCCCACGAGCCAGACCTTCGCACCGCGATGAGAACTCGACCTCCTTCGGTAGACCCTTGATCTTAACAACCCCATGAATGAACCTAATGGCAGAGAGCACCGACGAGGCGGCCGTAGCTCCCCGTTTCTGCTCCCTAAGAAGGCTCAGGTACTCATAAAGAATCTCCTCCTGGAAATCCAAAGGAGGAACCCCTTTGTCGTTGAGGAAGCAGCAGCAGCTCCACAAAGAAGAAACTCGCTTTAAAAGTGTGCCGGTGCTCTTCGAAACAAATGCATCGCGGAAGCTGCGGGCCACCACTTCCTCGTCCTGAAGGGCCCCGGCCGCGTTGACCAAGGCACAACCCAATTCTGATGAAGAAGGGTCCTGAAGGACAATGGTACGAAGCTTTCTCAGCTGCAAGGCACGGACCTCAGACTCATCACGATGTAGATTGCTAAGACGAAGCCTCTTCCTGACGAAGTCTGGATACGAGTGCTTAGGCATGGAAGTCGGAGCCATCACAGCCGGCTGAGCAGAAGGAACAAAAAGATCTCCGACTCCCACAGAGTGATGCTTGAGTGTTGGCTTCAAATGAGACGGCAGAGCAGCCCAAATGCCCTGCTCCCACGGAAACTTCGGAGCAGACTCGGAGATGCTCCTGCTTATGGCCGATGCCAAGAAATTCTCATAAGACATTCTCTGACCATGACCCATCTGCAATTCCGATCGAACCCCCGATGACGACGAAGGCTGGGAATGAGTCATCGGAGCAGATATAGAAGTAACGGCCGCAGCCGGATCAGAAGACGGATTAGCCCATGAGCCATCGGATTCCTCAGCTAAGCCGAACGAACCTGCCGTATCATCCCCCGCAGATCCAGGGGAGTTCGGAAAGACTGGCTCGTCATCGGGCCACATCTAGCCAGCAGGTCTAGGAGCAGGAGCCTCCGAAGGTGGCCCCGACTGTCCCATGCAGCGCACAAGCTACAACGTCGGAGGGGGCCCCGGTTCGGAAGCCTGTTAGGGCCTCCGAAGAAAAAGTTCACAATGCGATTGCCCGAGCTTGATGTGAAAGCGGTGCGCGGGCACTCTTCAAAGCATGTACAAGTTTACAAGTGATCATGTCGACATGAAGGAACGGACGTTGTTCCATAAAAAGGTACAAAAGTCATCATGTAAATTCCATGACGATTTCATACAAAAGATTCTGAACTGATGTTGTTGGTTTGGAATGTCAGCAACCAAAGCTTGGACAAATGGAAAACCGCTCGTTACCTCGCTGCCCCACCCAAAGAAAGGTATATCAACTTCGTTGACGCTGACCTTCTCACGAGCCAGTCAACCTGTTACAGGAGTACAGCGGCATTGCATCTACCCAGTTGAAGCTGGGTGGTCTCCTGCCTTGGTCATCGACGACCACGGCCGAGTCTCTCGAGCTATCCTTCCCCCCTTTATGAGGCCAAGGGGAGAAATTCAGGATGGAGCTCCGCGCTTGACAACGGCACTATACCATCCTCGCTTTTTGCTATATCAAATCTCCTACTTCGGGAGTTGTGCCAACTTTGAAGCAGCTTGCTGCAATTCAGATGCATCCAAGCAGCGCTACCCAGCTCTTCCCTGGGAGGATTTCTTCCCTGCACACCTCTTGCCAAATTGGACTTCCTTTGTCGCAGCCGGCAATTCTTGCAATGGCTTTATTGACCAAGGACTCGAGAATACTCTTGAGCCACTTTTTGAGTACCTCCAAACTGCTTCGCTTCCCTTTCGCCCGATCAAACTGCGAGAGATACTTGCTGATTTGGAGCTTCTTGAAGCGTTCAGGGTCGTTCCACGGTCAACTCCACTTAGCCTCATTGCTTCCCTCGCTGGAAACTCCTTCATACCCAGCGTTGTGCGTAGGTTCGTTGTTACCGATCTTGCTGGCTGTTTACCGTTATCAGCAGTACCGACTCCTAGCGAACTCCGTACGCACTATGAAGCATTAAAAAAGGCTGTTCATGAACTTATTGACGCCGCTGTTACTCAACGGCAGGTCTCTCATGAACGGGCACAAGAATGGAAGCGCGATATTCAACCTCAGCCCTTAGGCGACGACATCTTAGCGCCATCCTACTGGCATGGAGTTGAGAATCTGAGGGTTAGTAAGCCAACAGTCGGTCACAAGCCGTTTGCAAGCGTCGATTGGGTGCCTCTATCTGTCACTGGTTTAGGAGGAAGTGGCTCTGATTTCATCCACGAGCCACCGGAGGCCACGCCGCAACTGTTACAACAGCTTCCTGCAGCCTTTGATGTTAAGCTCCGGAATCTATTCCAGTCCCTTGGGACCCCACTTAACACGGTTGCATATGTTACTACGTCGCAAATCCTCTCGCAATTCCCCAGGTGCAGTACCCTTCGGAAAATATCCGTTGTTGAATTTTGCGGCGCCAAGGCACGTAATCTTGAGGACTTATACGTTAGGTACATCTGTTTCATTCTTAATTCCTTTCCGAGCGTCCTGGAAGGTCGGCTCATCATTTTCCTTCATCTGGTTGATGACAAGCTTGCTTCTTGGGCCTTCAAATCTGGGGGCGCGCATGTCCATACGGTTTGTTTTGTTGTCATACCGCCCAACTTAACCGGCGCTCTCTGGTTCCAAGCAGAGGTCAACCAGGGCTCCATCACCGATAAGGTGTTGCCCTTTCTCAATGCCCCTGTCTTCCCGCATCTCAAGTTGCCAACTGGGGACTTTGAAGCCCTTGCCGCATATCTTCAAGTCATGCAGCTGTCCTCCTTTTCAATTGTACGACGTTCGAAGCTGCTTGTGCGCTGAGCGTATCAGGAGGTCCCCTTTCAGTCCTAGGCCACTTCCACCTTGTTCAGGCCATAATTCTCGCATTGATCCCATTCTTAGGCAATGCTTTCATTCCGGAGGAATTATGGTCTCGGGAAGTTGACCCCACGCACATAGAGCATGAAGTGATCAATATCATTTCTACATTGCTCAATGGCTGTACTGGCCAGCCTTCTGGAGCGTGTGCTTATGATGTTGAGTGGCCTGCACAACAGCCTGCCACACTTACACCTATTGCGTGGTTGCCCGATAGCCTTGATGCCAAGTCCCGTACACACACCGCGTTGATCAAGCTTGCCCCAGTAGCTGAGAATGAAGCAACAATAATGGTCGTCCCCGGCTATGTGCCGCAACCTGCTACAAGCATAGCACTTAAAGGAGGATGAAAATTGCCACAACCTCCCTTATACACCCTCTAGTGAGAGCGACTCTCTTACGTTGCTTCCAATTCTTAGCTACACAGCAAGCCCACACCAAGCGGTGTCGTGTACGGTCATTGAATCTGATTTGGCACTTACAAGGCGTTCCCATAACCTTCCCAACACTTGCGGCCCTCAGAGCAACCTTACACTTTACCAATTTCCCACCTGTAGTGTCCCAGGCGTCTGTCACGCAGTGCTTGGATGCTCTATTGGATCAATGGAAGGCTGGTCACCTACCTCACTCAGGTGGCGGCCAGGAGCCCTCCTCCCTTCTTGCTCTGGTCCTTGGCTATCCGTCACAGCCTGGGAGCTTGGAGTCTTTCCAGGAATTACTTGGTGGGGCAATACTTGCCCTGACCCAGCAGCTCGTTGCGGCTAAGACATCATCCAACCCCTCCACAGGGGTTGGCCTGTCATTCCAAGTCTCCACATGGAACGTTTCAAGTTACACCACGTGGACGAGCACTTCGGCAATATGCAAAACTAACACGATTCTTAGCCTGCTAAAGAAAGGTCCGGTGTGTCTTCAGGAGACAAATTGGGATGCTGCAGGCCCGGTAGCCGCCGCTCACACTTTCCCACGCGCGGCAATTTCGTCACCAGCGATCTCTGCATCAGTTAGCTCGGGCGTTGCTATCCTAGTCCCATCTCCTTTCACCCTCACCTCGCAGACTGAGATTCTACCTGGCTTGGTCCTGTCGGCAAGAATCCAACACTTTGCTCATCGCTGTGAAATTATCTGCGTTTATGCACATCCAGATAAGCTCGCTGAAGTCGGAAGTGCTTTGGTCTCGTACCTTGCGTCAAGGACGCAACGTGACGAGCTATTTGTAATGGGAGACTTCAACCACATGGCAGAAAAGCAGCCAGGACTGTGGGAACTCTTCTGTGCGGAGGGGCTCTTGCGTCTAGTCTCGGGCGGGGGAATACCGACATATCGTTCCGGGAATGTGGCGTCTTGCTTAGACCTGGTGCTGCATAATGAGGAAGCAGAAGGCTGCCGCCGCCTTAGAAGTCGGGTGTTTTGGCCCCATGCTCTCCCACAAGGGCATGGTGTCGTGACATTGCGGGTACGTAAAGCGCGCATGCTCTCCAATGATGTTGGGGCATCTACTTATCGAGCAATACCAATACGTGCCTTTAAGCAACAATTACAGGCCCCCTCAACACGCATTCCCGAACACTCTTCTCATCCGGCCAAGGTGCGCCTTGAAAGGCTGAAAGTTCTTCTGCCTGACTCGCCCACTTTGCAAGACCTTCAAAGTCTGTTCCATGTGTGGTGGGCTGGGGAGCTAGAGCACACCTCCTGTGCTGTCTCTGAAGGGAAGTACGGTGCCCTTCCGTACTTATTAAAGCGACAGCGCAAACGTCCACATGCATCCTCTTTCATTATCCCATGGGCCATTTTTGAGACATTCCAACACCTGCTTCAAGCGCGGCCCCTTCATACGCAAGGTCAGCCGGCAACAATCAGCGCTGTCGAGGCTCAGCAAGTTGTCATGCAGTTGACTACGCTTGAGACGATCCATGTCGCCCCACCTCCCATAATCAAAGACTCTCGTCAGCTGGGGGCACGCATGCCACACAAACACCCGAGATGGGATCTCCATCGTTCATCTTCGGGATCCTTTGGAACCACGGGGGTATTACGAGCTGACGGCTCTCCTTGCTCCACTGTGGGAGAGGTAGACGTCGCCCTGCGTGCTACGAGAGCCTTTTGGCAGCAATCACCACCAGATTATTCCCCGGAATGGGAGATAGTGCTCAGTGAATATCGACCCCAGCCTGCAATTAGGTGTGCTCTTCCCCAAGAAGAGGACATCATGTTTCATCTCTTACGCACGGGTGACTCTTCGGCTGGACCCGATGGTTGCCCATATGAGTGCTATCGCCAGCTGCCTACAGAGTCTGCTCGCGCTCTTTATTCGCATTTCATTGATATCATTCTTGGAGTTGCTCCGCCCCCAACACAAGCATTGACCTTCATCCCCAAAGCGGACGCGGGCCAGTATGCGGATAACTTCCGGCCGCTTGATATGCCTGACACGGCTGCTCGTATCATTGACTCTGCTGTCTTTGCGTCGGCCATGAGCGTCATTGCCCCTTGCCTCAATCAGTCTCAGGCCCTTGTCAGTCAATTAAAAGAGGCACCTGCCAATTTTATGGTAGTCCAGGACTGCTTATTGTCCGAGTCGCAGCCTTGTAATGTTCTCCTTACCGACATGGCCAAGGCCTTTGAACGGGTCAACCCTGGCTGGCTTCTTGAGGTCTTAGAACGCCTCTGCGTTCCCCAGTGGGTGCGACAATATACCATTCACCTTCTTTATGGTCGTCACTCCCTGCACCGTATTCAAGGCCTCCTATTGCCACCACTTCGGATGAGGCAAGGCCTCGCTATGGGACGGGCTACATCCGTTCTTCTGTTTTGTGTAGCGATGGACCCACTCATCTGTTCGCTACATCGCATCCCTCGGGTGCGAATGCTCAAGGCCTACATGGACGACAACTCCACAGCAGGCTCTGGAGTTACATGGGTAGGCGACGCGCAAATCAGGTTCGCTTCTCTCTATAGTGCTGGGTTTCATGTTCTCAAACACCAGTGCTTTTCCGCTGTCAGAGTCCCGATTGCCCTGGCGGAACAATTGCGCCATGCCAGATCAGAA